ACCTTTAGCACTGTCACAAGTACTAACCTCTGTAGCATAGATTTTGAAGAGCAACCATGCAATGTACCAGGTCATCAGAAGAAACACACCACACAACCAGGTATGGTAAAACAAGGAGACATCCAATAAGCCACTCAGAGTGTCAAGAGGATGCAATTTACTGGAGATAAAACCAAGAAGTTACAAGTACTTTAGTAGGTTTTTTTTTTTCCAAAAATGATTTCTTAAATATGCTTGAGATACCAGTTCTTTGATTTTTCAGTAACTGATGAAATTAAGTTAAGAAAAATAATGAAATTAAGGAAAAGAAATATGAAATAAGTAACAATGATTACAGTTTTAGTTTTAGTCAATTAAGGTGTTAAGGTTCCAGCTTCCCTATTTTAAAATAAATCAGCCATATAAAAAGAAAGATGCCTCACCAAAAAAAAACCACCACAGAAAAGCAGATACAACACATTTATGTAATTTGGAGAGACTGGCCTTTCTAATACTTTAGAGACTTACAGAGATGAAAGTAACAGAGGATTTCTTAATTGCTATCTTAATGACAATATGGTTGTTGGTTCCTTTTCAGAAGCACCCAACACTCCCCACATTCCGTGTGGGAGGGCAAGGAACCAAGTCCTGCTACAAAGAGGCAGCTGCTAAGCTGGACCTCCTCAGCAAAGGGAGCTGTCAGCAATATTCCAAGCTTCCAGCACAATGTCCTACCTACCTGTCTGTATGAAGATCCATCGTCGTACATATCCAAACCTTTGGGATATAACCTAGGGAATCAAAAAGAAACACTGAAACAAATGTGATGCTGCAACACACACACAACAGGCCAAAAAGAAGACAAAAACGGAATTAATGCAGAGACAAGAGACTGGTCTTGTAACACACATGGACAAGGAAACAATCTGCCTTAGGAGATTTTTGTGGTTTTTTTCAAGAAATAGAAACGAGAATGAAAAAAAGCCTCTAGGCCAGCAACTATACACAGGGATTTAGACCTACTCTTTTATTGCCAGTTTCTCAGCACTGAATTAAATGTGTTTTCTCACTTACAAAAGAGGGTTAATAGTAGTTTAATACTAATTTTCACTACAGCTCTGGCAGCAGCAAAGTGCTTTTAAAGACTTAATGGAAACTGATATAGAACCCTCACGCTCCTAATTTATCCGCGATGTAAACAAAGTGGAAATAATTCTTGCATATTTTGACATTGTTTAGGAGGATAATTACAACCATAACATTCCTTATTTTTAGAAAGTCCAACGCAAACATCTTCATCAGTAAAGATTTTTTAAGACAAAATGCCATTTTCGTATGGGAGGGAGCCATCCTGCCTTTGTCTCCCCAGCTCCCACCAAAAAACATGTAGAGCACTTGAGAATAAAGCCAAAGTGCTGTTTTTTACCTAAAAAAATAGAGAAAACATAGCAACATCATATGTAGTGAAGCCGTGCCCACTGCTAGTGTGTCAGGTTCAGCTCTGTGACACTGCACTTTAACACCAGGCAGTGAAGGGAGCAGTCCCAAGGCATGGAGTTGTTTATTAATCTATATGTATCTGGGGATATTTAAAGAAAAAAGGGAATATAATTACAGACAACAACTTTTTTTCAATTGCACTGTTTTCAGATTTATAACCTCTTTGCACAAATCAGGACAGGTATGTAAAGAGTGGCCCGAAGCATCAGGACTTGATGCACATTGTAAACCACCAGCTGATTAGAATTTGGTTGCTCCATTTACAAGCAATTACAGGTTATTTCACGGCTGCCTACAATGAGATTTCCTGCACAGAAGAGACCACCAGAGGCAGTAACACAGTGAACAAACAGACTTCAGAATATAAACCTATTATTCCCCACTCCCTTCTTCTTAGAGCACTGTCACCTTCTTATCATGTATCAGCCAGACAATAAATTCTTATAGAAGGTGTTCATCTCTTTGGAAAGAGACATTTCTCTTATGCTAAACAGACTTCTGTGAGGCTGCAAGAACTGCCATCTGTGGGAGGAACATAATGAATGTGTGAGCAATTTATATTGTGTGTGGTACTTTTATAGACTTTTATAAACCTTCACATAGTTTTATAAGTACTATAAGTTATAGGTCCCAAGATGGCTACGGGTGTCTTTTTAAGAACAAAGAAAAATGAGTGGCAAGAAGAAGGTGGAGTTTGTTAAAGTAAACTAT